AGAACCCAGTTAAAAAAAATAAAATAAAAATATCATACTCGGTTGTTTATTTATTGAGGAAAATGATCTAATATTACATATTTGTGTGGTAAAAGTGAACCTCTAGGATTATCAGTTAATTTGAAAGTGAAACAAGAGTCAGGTGTTTTCAATCAGTGGATGATGATCAGGTGTGAGTGATCACCCTGATTTAAAGAACTGGATCTATCAGCGTCTGCTCTTCACAACATGTTTGTGGAAGTGGATCATGTCAGGAACAAAGGAGATTCCTGAGGAGCTCAGAAAAAGAGTTGTTGATGCTCATCAGGCTGGAAAAGGTTACAAAACATCTGTAAAGAGTTTGGACCCCACCAATCCACAGTCAGACAGGTTGTGTACAAATGGAAGACATTTAAGACCATTGTTCCCTCCCCAGGAGTGGTGGACCAACAAAGATCACTCCAAGAGCGAGGGGTGGAATAATGGGCGAGGTCACAAAGGGTAACTTGTAACAACTGAAGGCCTCTCTCACATTAATGTTCATGAGTCCACCATCAGGAGAACTCTGAACAACAATGGTTCAAGGCAGGGTTGAAGGAGAAACCACTGCTCTCAAAAAGAACATGGCTGCTCGTCTTCAGTTTGCTGAAGATCATGTGGACAAGCCAGAAGACTGTTGGAAGAATGTTTTGTGGACAATGAGACCAAAATAGAACTTTTTGGTTTAAATGAAAACTGTCATGTTTGGAGAAAGGAAAACAGCATTCCTGCAGAAGAACCTTATCCCATCTGTGAAACACGGTGGTGGTAGTTTCATGGTTTGGGTCTGTTTTCCTGCATCTGGGCCAGGACGTCTTGCCATCATTGATGGAACAATGAATTCTGAATTACATCAGAGAATTCTAAAGGAAAATGTCAGAACATCTGTCCATGAGCTGAATCTCAAGAGAAGGTGGGTCACGAAGCGACACAATGACTCCAAGCATACAAGTGGTTCTACCAAAGAACGTTCAAGAAGAATAAAGTTCATGTTTTGGAATGGCCAAGTCAAAGTCCTGACCTTAATCCAATCCAGATGTTGTGGAAGGACCTGAAGCTGCAGTAAATGTGTGGAAACCACCAACATCCAGCGTTGAAGCTCTTCTGTACGGAGGAATGGGCTAAAACTTAGAGCCCGACCAATCTGGAAGTTTTCACTATTGTCGATACCAATACTGGGAGCGGGAGGCTAATGCCGTTAACTGATATATTGGCTGAAATTTTTCTAGCTTTGTCCACCCCCTGGAATCTTAAGGAAACAACTACTTTTAAACCTGTTTTAACACCAGAAGTCTTGAAACAGTCTTCCTAACGTGTGTTCACATTTTCTGTCCTCCACTGTTCACCATAAAGTTATGAAGTGTGTTACATAAATATAAATTAAACTAAGAAATGCCCTTCCCTGTTCATTGTTTAAACAGTCACGTACGGTGAAGGCCTAATTAGTATTGACTGCAGCTTGTTTTTTCTGTGCAGAGAAGTAAAGATTTCAGACAAGCAATGCATTTCACGGAGGGCAAAAAAGATAACGTTACTAACGCTGATATATTTTACCTCTGCGTTGGATTTATTGTTCTGGATAAAGTTTTACAAGGCAATAGTCTATGCTAGTTTATTTAAATGTTAGCTTGCTAACTTGAGAGGCTTGTAGCCAATGACAAGCAGTTTGGAGGATTGAAGAAAATGTATTATTGTTGATATGTTTTACAGATCAGTTGCAACAAACTTACTTACCATGCTGTGTTAAGCAAAATATGCTACACAATATTGCTCGCTGCTTGACCGTGCTGAAAGTGAAAGTTAAAGTTAAAGTGAACGGTCATGACTTGAAAGTATTCCGCATCCGCCCTCTGCTGGTTACATTGTACAATTACACCTTTTGCCAGTAAGGTGGTGGGGGGGTTGTCACACCAGATACTGAAAGCAAAGTTTCACATACTTTTACCACTCACAAATATGTAATATTGGATCATTTTCCTCAATAAATAAATAATCAAGTAGAGTATTTTTGTTTCATTTGTTTAACTGTTTAACTTTTTCTACTTTTAGGACTTGTGTGAAATCTGATGATGTTTTAGGCCATATTTATGCAGAAATATAGAAAATTATAAAGAGTTCACAGACTTTCAAGCACCACTGTACATATATGTACAGTGGACATATATATGTACATCATGTATATATTCTATATACATTATATATATATAGAGAGACATATATACGTGTATATATTATGAATATAGGACCCACTCTTTTTACAATTTTCATTCAACCTTTATTTATAAAAATAATGTAGGTCAAAACATTCCTGATGCCTTCTTACATTTTTATGCCGATGATTCAATTGTTTATTGCAGAGCTAACACAGTTGCCAAGGTTTTCCAGCTTCTACAGTCTGCATTTGACATCATTCAGTCTTATTCCACCTCAAGCCGGTGCTACATGCTGACAAAACCAAAGGGATGTTGTTTTCAAACAGAAAGTCGATGCCAGCATCTCTTCCTCTAATCTTTTCCATGCATGGTGTTCCTTCAGGTGTTCAGTACAGACTGAATTCAGCTAAAAGACCTTTATTTACTCTGCTCCTGTAACCTGGAACACCTTGCAACAAGAATGGAAGCTGTCCAGTTTGATTTCTTTAAGAGATGTTAAACATTTGATAATGCCAATAGAAAAACCTATGCCAATATGTTCTAGTTTTTAATACTTTATTTTTGTTATATGGCAACTTGATTCAACAGTTTTTATATCACAACTTTGATTTGATTTTAATTGTTATTTGTTGAATTATTGTAGTCTGTACTTTATATGTTGTCTGGCTGAAACAGGAGGTCTCTCTTGAAAATGAGTCCTTGTGACTCAATGAGACTAACCTGTATATATATATATATATATATATATATATATATATCAATCAGCCAATTGTGTGTCATGTCCAATCTTGCTTTGAAAAAGAGTGAGTTTGCGAAAGCTGAACCGCCAAGTTGCGAGGGACTACTGTATATATACTGTGTGTATATATATTTATATATATATATAATGCATACATACATGCGTGTGTGTGTCTGTGTGTGTGTCACTTCAGCACATCTTTCCTGTGGGGTTCCACAGGGCTAGATTCTTGGAATGCTTCTATGTTCATTGAACCAGCTTCCTTTGGTTTCTGTTCTGAGGAAACATGGTCTTTCTTTTTATTGTTATGCTGATGATTGTCAGATTTATCTGTCCTTAAAACCCAATAGGTCTTGCTCCATCCACCCTCCAATAAAATGTCTTCTTGACATGACGGCTTGGATGGCTACATTTTATTTTTTATTTTTAGTGATGAGAAAACTGAAGTTTTCATGTTCATCCCTAGGTCTACTGCTGTCACTCTTCCTGTAAACCGTAGCTCTCTAGAGCTGTATCTTCTGCAGAGCGTTATGAATCTGGGGATGGTTTTAGGCTCTGATTTTAAGATTAATAAACAGATGAACTCTTTTCTGCAGAAAAGTTTCTTTCAGTTAAATCAAATAGCAAAGCCTAAGTCCGTTTTTGGCAGATCTGACCTTGAAAGAATGGCCCATGCCCTCATTACAACCCGACTAGACTACTGTCACGCGCTATATGTTGGGGTTAGTCAAGTCTCTTTCCTGTCTCCAGCTCGTTCACAATGCTGCAGCTCGTCTCTTAACAGGAACTCATAGGTTTGATCGTATTTTATTTTCATATTTCATCAGTTTTGTCCTCCCTTCATTGGCTCCCTATATATAACAGAATAGATTTAAAAATTATTGTGTTGACCGTAAGTGCCTAAAAGACCTTGCACCCTCATATCTCTCTGACCTACTTCAACCTTCTCGGGCGCTGAGATCATCTGACCAGCTGCTTGTGGTTGAAGCTCAGAGGAGATCAGGCTTTTTCAGTCCTGGCTCCTAAACTCTGGAACCATCTGCCCCCAACATCACACTGACCTCTTCACTTCCTGTTTTTAAACACTGACTTTTCACGCTGGGTGACTGGTTTTACTCTTTTGTTGTTCTTTCTTTACTTTCTCCTGATGTTTTCGTATGAATTTGTTGTGTTGTTGTTTTGATCTCAGTCTTTGTCTTGCTTTAATATTGTTGGTGCTGTTTGGTTCCAGCTTGTTGTTTTTAATATGCTTCATGGATAAACTGAAGGGACTTTGTGTCCCCAGCTTTAGGCTGACGTCGTCTTCTTGGGCCGAAACAGAAACTTTCATTCAGCTGACAGCTTTTTGCTAAATTCTCTTTATTTTAAAGAGTCGTTGCTCTTTGTGTGAAATATTAACTCCTGTGTGTTCATTTGTATCATATTTGTGGAGATTTTTTTTTCACCACTTTAAAGAAATTTTGTCAAACTTGTTAAATCTGCAGTTTTGCAGCTAACCTTTGAAATTGAACTCGTTCGTCTTTGTCGTGACTCCCTGATCACACTCGGAGGTTCGTCCTTGTTTTGGGTTCTGTGTCGTGGTTTCAGGTGGAGCATGCAGACACAAGGAGCAGGCGGTGTTTGGGGGGTGCAGATCGAAGGTTTATTAACACAGGTGGAGACGGGACGGGCTGCAGTCGGTGCAGAAAAACACTGAAACATCTCCTCAGCTGACATGAAGCTAAAAACAGACAGATTCTCATTTGTTTATGTCCCTTCTGCTGGTTCTGGTTCCTCTTCTGACCGACGATGACACAAATGAAGTTCATGTGGAAAACATTTTCTATTTTTAGTTTCTAAAAGCTCTCCTACTCTAAAACACAGAAACACTTTGGACGTTTAATCTGCTCTTAGACACTCAGACAGAACTTTAAACAGAACCTGAAAACAGAACCAGAACCTAAAATGTTCTAAAAATGTTTATTTTTCTGTCTGAGGAAAGTAAAGGCATAGGTAGTAAAAGTTTAAAGGTACAAGCCGTGCTTAAAGGGACGGTTTCAGCAGCGCTTCATGCTCCTCCCCCTCTGGACTCACGAGGGTCTGAAAGTCTGACCCATCACAGTGCACTGGTTCTGGGGCTCAGTAGGATTCTGGATTGAGAATTGCACTTGGAATGGGGAGGGTTGGGGGTGTTGTGCTCAGGTCTGCAGTGGGGGAGTGGGTAAACACAGTGCCAGTCCATGTGTCTTAGTGTTACTATGGCAACAAGATGGGCGTGTCAGAGAAGACGGACACGTAGGAGTCCGTCTCCCCAGCTCTCTGCTGTGGCTCCACCCCCAGCAGGAGCCCCGGCCCCGCCCTCAGTCTGCCATTCTGCTGCTCTCTGATTGGCTCCAGAAACACCACATGCTTGTTGGTACTAACCTTTCGACCCGGACCCTCGGTGGTCAGCGGCGGGGTTGGTGTCAGGATGGAGGACTGGGCACTCCCCGGCCTTGCCTCCTTGCCTCGACTCAGAGTGACGGTGGTCGGGGGGCGGTGCTTGGGGCAGCGGCATGGCGTCAGATACAGATACATGAGGACCAGCAGCAGGCTGACCACGCAGCCCAGCAGCGTGGTGAAACCCGTGTTGAAATGCTCATGGGCCTCGCCCTCATGGCGCAGCACAGTCACCTTAACCTCCCGAGTCTCGTTGTGATCCTGGTCTTGAGCCATGCACAGGTAGATTCCGGAATCCTCCTCACGTGCTGCCACAATCTCCAGACTACCGTTGGGGAACATCTTTAAGGAGCCATTGTTCCCTGGCGGCACCACATACTCTGAATTTGGTGCCAGCCAGAAGAAGGTGGTGCTGGTCCTGGACAGAGAGGTTATGCAGTGCAGTAGCAGCGGCTCCCCTGCCGTCACTGACACGTTCCCCTTCTGCTCCTTCATCCCCATCAAGTTACATTTATCAAAGAAACGACTGTAGAGGAAGAACTGAACCCCTCGCTGGATCCCGTACACCAGACAGACGTGCTCCTGCCTGAAGAACCTGACGGAGGCGAAGTCCTGCTTCTCCCAGAACCTGAACAAGGAGTACATGGAGCAGTCGCACACCAGGGAGTTGTTGTGGAGGTAGAGTCCCTCTTTGACCAGCTGGGGCAGGTTGGAGATGTCCTTCAGGGGCAGTTTGGGCAGCCGATTGGAGGATAAGTCCAACATGGACAAGTTGGGGTGGCTGTGCTTCTGGATGCTGAAGAAGGGGAAGTTGGTGAGCAGGTTGTGACTGAGGTAGACCTTGTGGAGATTCCGTAGGGCATCCAGAGCTCCGGTTTCCACACGGACGATGCGATTGTTGAACAGCAACAGTTCCTGCAGTCCGGGTAAGTCCTGGAAGTAATGCTGCTCCAGAACCATCAGCTGATTAGAGGACAAGTCCAGATGTCGGAGCAGAGGACCCGAGGAGTTTCGGAAGGCTCCGGGCTGAATCTTGGTCAACTGGTTATGTGCCAAACGTAACATCTCCAGACGAGGAAGGCCCTCAAAGCTTTCCTCCTCTAGCTGCATGATACGATTGTGGTTCAGGTCCAGTGTGACCGTGAAGACAGGCAACACCACAGGGACCTGATCCAAATCCAGAGCCGTGCAACTAAGGAGATCTGAAGTACAGAGGCACTGAGACGGGCAGGCACTGGCCCAGACCGGACCCAACAGCATACAGAACATCAGAACAACAGACCACGATGACAGCCTTGGAGCTGCAGCTGAGTCCGTCATTTCCAGGAAACCAGCGAGACCAACCAGCATGATGCCAGCTGCAGGATCCTTTAATCTGCCAGAACTTGTCTTACTTCAGCAGAACCAGAACTTATTCTGTCACATTGTCCAGGTTCTGGACCTCATCTCATCCTTATAAAAAAACACATGGAGATATCAGGGACACACGGAGCCTCAGTTTTTGTTTTAAACCAGAAACACTCCTTCACTCTGAGTCTGTCAGCATTTCTTCTCCGACTGGATCTTCAGACTCAGAGCAGAACCCCTATTGCCCAGTCCCTGCAGGTCCTCACTTGTTTGGACTCGGTCAGCGTTGCATGAAGCTCCTGCATCCACCGTTCAGAGGCAGGAGACAAACATCTGCTCAGTTCAGCTCGGAGCAGGAGGGAGGACGTACAGATCTGACCTGTCCTTGCAGACCAGTCCAGACCTGTCCTTTCAGACCAGTCCAGATCTGTCCTCGCAGAACTGTCCTCACAGACCTGTCCAGACCTGTCCTTGCAGCCCAGTTCAGATGTCCTCTCAGATCAGTCCAAACCTGTCTTCTCAGACCAGTCCAGACCTGTCTTCTCAGACCAGTCCAGACCTGTCCTTTCAGACCAGTCCAGAACTGTCCTAGCAGACCAGGCCAGACCTGTCCTCCCAGACCAGTCCAGACCTGTCCTCCCAGACCAGTCCAACCTGTCCTCTCAGACCAGTCCAGGCGTGTCCTCTCAGACCAGTCCAGGCGTGTCCTGTCAGACCAGTCCTCTCAGGTCGGTATAAACAGAACAAACAAAGTCAACTGAACTTTCTTGTTTCCTGTTTGATTAAAGTTTCATGTAGACACCAGAAAGTGTCCAGTCCTCTCTGGTCTCTTGGTCCATCCTGTCTTGTGCCTCTGTCTGGTGTTCACTCGCTCCATTGGGTCCTGTTGGTGGAGTCCGGTCTGAGGTCCAGAAGGCTCAGCATCCTCCTGCCTGCAGCTCTGCAGCTGCTGCAGTCCTCCTCGCTGAGAGCAGCCTTGCTGCTTCGTTCTGAGAGGCTTTTAAAAGGCTCTGACGTGAAGCATCGATCAGCGAGCTCCGTCTCTGCTGCTCTTTGTCTCCTCGTTAAGGCAGAACGTGAAGTTCTGCTGCTCCGGTACCGATGAGAGCAGCAAAACATCCGACGTTTGTGTGTTTGCTGTCACAGCTGCCTTGGTGTGTTTGCTGCTCATTTCTGAGCTCCGTCTGCCTCTTCTGGTGCTTTCCCAGTGTTCTTCCTCTCCTCTCCTCTGCTCCTCCTCCTTCTCCTCGTTTCACTGCCTGTTCCTGTTTGCCTCTGCTCGCACTTTGTTTTCACCCTCTCTGACGGCTTATGTCTCCACAGAAGGAGCTTTGAGACACTGATTTCACAGAGAGTCTGGCTGTGGGCTCTCAGACGGACAGAACAGGATGGTTTCAGGCCCGGTGAATTAAATCTTTGAAACTTCTTCGCAGGCAGTGAAATATTCAGAACTATCACAACAAAATGCACATTGTTTTATTTACTTTAGGAACAAGACACGTGTTTCTACTGAAAAGGACAAACTAACACCTGCCTCTTTATGAGAGCTTTACGTTATACATGTTATATTTAATATTGAGGACAGCAGGACATGTTAGACTGGTACAGGACATGTATGTGGGAGTCTGTAGACATCTGTAGGGAGTGTGAAGAGAGTCTGGTCACATCTGGGCCTTGTGTGAGCTAATTCCTACTAACTCCAATTAAAACTCTGGCAGCAGCATTTTGGATCAACTGAAGACTTTTTAAAGAAGTATTTGGACACCCAGATAATAAACCATTGCAATAGTCCAGTCTAGATGTGACAAATGCATGGACCAGTTTTTCTGCATCATTTTTAGACAAGAAATGTCTAATCTTAGTGGAAAGAGGTTCTGGTAACGTTTTTAATGTGGGGGATAAAAGACATGTCCTGATCAAAAATAACACCAAGATTTTTAACATTAGAGCTGGAGGCCAGATTAATGCCATCCAAGGAGGGCAAAAGATTGAAAAATTAATTCCTAAAATGCTCAGGTCCAAAAACTGCAATCTCTGTCTTGTCCGAGTTTAAAAGCAGAGCATTTAGGGTCATCCAGGTTTTTATGTCTTTAAGACATGCTTGTAGTCTAAGTAACTGATTGGATTCGTTGGGTTTCATGGACAAATAAAACTGTGTATCATCAGCATAACAATGAAAATTTATCCCATACTGTTTAATAACTTTACCTAATGGGAGCAGTATAAAGAGTATTGGTCCAAGCACTGAACCTTGAGGAACTCCATGACTAACTTTAGTGTATGAAAAAGATTCATTATTTACATTTACAAATTGGAATCTATTAAATGTATATGATTTAAACCAATTTCAATTCAATTCAATTCAAAAATACTTTATTAATCCCAAAGGGAAATTATTTGTTGTTGTAACTCATTATCCTCATTTCATTAAGAGATGTTATAGATGCTGATGCTGTAGACAGGAAGGATCTCTTGTAAAGGTCCATCCCACAGTGGATCCTAAGAAACTGACTGCAGATGCCGTCCGATCCGTCCACCCAGACTCGGCTGGCCTCTCGGTTCCCCCGGGCTGTAGGACCACCCGAATACCGGGCAGAACTCCTCCCAGAGCGATGGCCACTCCTCCCAGCAGTCTGCTGAGCTCCTCGTCACTGTGGACAGCCAGCTGTAGGCGCCGAGGGACGATCCCGTCCTTCAGCTGTCATGAGCCGTGTTTCCTGCTAGTTCCAGGATCTCAGTGGTCAGGCACTCGAGCACAGCTGGCAAATAGATGAGAATGCGTCCGCAGAACATCCTTTTCAACTCATTTGAGATTTGGGGCTGTAGTTGAGATATTATTTGAGCTTTTGAGATGTTAATCAGCTGCTGTTGGTTGTAGAAAACTGCCTTGTTGCCATGGTTACGCATCATAACAAATGTCCAAAACTAAAAAAAGTTTCAGTAAAAATCCTTCCAGCTGCACAGCATCTGATACCAGAGGAAACAATCATCCAAAACATGTGATTTACATCCAGAAAAACAGGAATTAAAGTTTCCAAAAGCAAAATCTCAGAATGAAAGTATCAGAGCTGCTCCAACATGCAGCCACCTGGAGCGGCACAATTCTAGAACTTAGAATTTAGAACTTAGAAATTTAGAGCCGTTCCTATAATCCCAATATCATATTCAAGTCTCTGTAAAAGAATATTGTGATCAACTGTATCAAATGCAGCATTGATGTCTAACAGGACCAGTGTAGACACATAGATGCCTATTGGAGTCTGTAGGGAGTTTGTAGATTTTTAATAGTCTGTGGATGTCTTTAGGAAGTCTATAAACATCTGTGGGGTATCTGTAGTCCTGCAGACGTCGGCCTGGTTTCTTGCTGCTTCAGCCTGATTCTGTTTTGTGTAAGATGAGAAGTAAAATAAAAAAAGTCATAAATCAGACTTGTTTACCAGCTGAGCACAGCCTGCAGTTTCTTGTTTTCTCTGCTGATTGAACTCTGCTGAAGGACCTGATGTCACATCGTTCCTGAGATCTTCTGATCTGGTCCATCGTGTTCTCACTCCACTCAGCAGCAGCAGCAGGCTTGTGGTTTTATACAGCTGAAATCTGATTCTGGAGCAAACATGAGTTCAGATGCTCCACCTGCTGCCTCAGTTAGCTCTTCATCTCCACTTTCATCTCTTGTTTCTGTGAGAAATCTGCACCATCATCATCATCGTGGTGTGGAGTGTTGGTTCAGTGTTTCAGGATGAAAGTGTGATGTAAAAACTGCTGGGTCCAAAAAAACATTCTCTGTAGAAACGTCTCCACGCTTACAGGACTAATCTGACAATCTTGGTGTAACTAAACTGTTGGTTTTTGTTTGGTTCATGGATCTGAACAGAACAGGGCCGTTATAGACTATTTAAAAGAAAAGGAGGCGGGGTCTGACATTACAGAATATTTAGGAAAGAGGTGAGTTCAGATGTTACCGAATATTTAAAAAAATAAGGGACTAGGTCAGATGTTTGTGACTGTTTGGAAGAAAAGGGGCGGGGTCAGACGTGACAGAAAAGAAGGAGCAGGGTCATATGTGAGTGACTGTTTAGAAGAAAAATGCAGGGTCAGACGTTAGTGATTGTTTAGAAGAGAAGGGGTGTGGTCAGACATTAGTGATTGTTTAGAAGAGAAGGGGTGTGGTCAGACATTACTGATTGTTCAGAAGAAAAGGGGTGTGGTCAGACATTACTGATTGTTCAGAAGAAAAGGGGTGTGGTCAGACATTACTGATTGTTTAGAAGAGAAGGGGTGTGGTCAGACATTACTGATTGTTTAGAAGAGAAGGGGTGGGGTCATACATTACTGACTGTTTAGAAGAGAAAGGGGTGTGGTCAGACATTAGTGATTGTTCAGAAGAAAAGGGGTGTGGTCAGACATTATTGATTGTTTAGAAGAGAAGGGGTGTGGTCATACATTACTGATTGTTTAGAAGAGAAAGGGGTGTGGTCAGAC